GACTTACAACCGTTTGTTTGGTGACTGTTCGAAGTTACGACGACACTGAAAAAAGACACTTATGACCGTTTTTTCACACGTATGACCATTGCGGCACCCCCATGATCACATGATCAAAATCTGGATGCTTGGCAACTGGTTCATATTTATGACAGTTGCGGTGTCCCAGGCTTGTGTGATCACCTTTTGCGACCTTCTGACGAGCAAACTCGTTGCCGGGTTCACTTAACAACCGTGTTGCCATCTCAACAACGGCAGTGATTCACTTAACAGCTACGGCAAAGAAGGTTGTACGATGGGGCAAAGATCGCTGAACAGCTGTCTCGCTTCGCCACAGAACTTTTGGGCTCAATTGTGGTCGTAAGCCGAAGACTACCTGTATAGCCAGCCTTTTATTCAGAATGTTGTCGCGCCTTCTTGTTTTTCCCCACAACAACCGCTCTGGAGGTAGGGTAGGCTGAAAAACAGTGAGCTTCTATGACCGAGGAAGAATTAAAATTAGGTCTTGCTGCTCTTGGTCAAAAGCCTTAAAACAGAGGTGGGCTGCTGCCGGTTCGGGCAAACTGGTAATAGTTCCGATCACCGGCTGGGCCCACCCAGTTGCCCCGGCGTTATCCCGTCTTATATATCTCGCTCTCTGGCTTGCTCGTCCCGCTCACGCAGCCCAGCTGATTGCCATGCCTCGGCCGCTCTCCTCACCGCAGCTGCTCGAGAAGGTGTGCTGGAAGCCGCGCGCAGGAAATCGCTGTGTTTGAAGCCGCACGCAAGCGGCGGAAGGCGCACGTATGAGCGAAACGAGCGTGCGCATGCACGCTCACATTTTCGGTTCTGCACTAGGCGAAACTGGTTGTTAAATGATGTGAAGCCCATCTCTGCCTTAACCACTATAGCGCACTGCCTCTCCAATATCTTTTTTAATCAGCGTATCGATTGTCTTTCCCGGGATTCAGATTTGAAAGCGAGAGCCATCTGCACAAGCCTCTGGAGGCAGAGAATTTGATGCAGCAAATTCGGTTATTCCTTCGATTTGATAGGACACTGAAATCTGATAACTCTTGTGTGTCTCCATGTTTACACATTCCTGGCTCGTGTTCAAGCATTGCACACATACACTCTTTCCTCTTGTGAGGGGAAAAAGCCAATTTAGGTCAGGAAAACAGGCTGACTGATTTAGGAGCCCACAGCTATTTCGGCCTAGGAATCAGCTGCCACTGCTCTCATGTAAGAGCCTCGATATATCCTTATAAGCGGCATTAAGTGGTTTTGAAGCAGAGAGATTAAGCCATCCTGTTCAGAATAAGAGGTGGAAGGGACCTTGGAGGTCTTCTAGTCCAACCCCCTGCTGAAGCAGGAGACCCTATACCAGTGATGGCTAACCTTTTCCGGACCGAGTGTCCAAAGCTCAAGCATGGGCACGCTCGAATCTGCGTGCACCCTCGAATCCCTGCGTGTGCGCCGGAACCCTCAAAATGCAATGTGGCACAGCCCCCTGCACGCGCCCTGCTCCCTGTGCACCCCCCCCACATATGCCTCCACATGTACACGCACGTCTCCCACATGTGTCCCGACCCCCGGCAGAGACCTGAAGACCAGCTGGCCAGTAGGAGGCATGTGCGCATGCGCAACAGAGCTGAACTGAGGTGATAGCTTTAGTGCCATCAGAGAGGGCACTGCGTGCCACTTCTGGCATGCTTTTTTTTTTTTTTTTTAAATTGATTTATATGCCGCCCTTCTCCAGAGACTCAGGGTGGCTTACCATGCGTTAAGCAATAGGCTTCATACTCTTTGTATATTTTATACAAAGTCAGCTTATTGCCCCCACAATCTGAGTCCTCATTTCACCTACTTTAGAAAGGATGGAAGGCTGAGTCAACCTTGAGCCTGGCGAGATTTGAACTTGCAGTAATTGCAGACAGCTGAATGTTAATAACAGTGCTTTTAGTCTGCTGAGCCATCAGGCTTGCCATTTTATTTATTTATTTATTTATTTATTTATTTATTTATTTATTTATTTATTTATTTATTTAAATTTAATTTATATGCCGCCCCTCTTCGAACACCCAGGGCGGCTCACAATACAATCAAAAAATCACTATAAAAACACTTAAAAATTAAAAACATTAAAGATTAAAAATTAAATTAAAAATTAAAAACATTAAAGCCATCACGGCCCTATACCATTCCAGACAAGTGGCTGTCCACTTCTCTTCTTAAAAACCTCATGGGATGGAGCACCTACAACTTCAGTCACAGATTGATTGTTCTCACCGTCAGAAAATTTCTCCTTCTAGGTTGGTTCCCTCTTTGGTTAGTTTCCATCCATTGTTTCTTGTCTTGCTTTCTGCCGCTTTGGAAAATCAGTTGACCACCCTTCTTCTTTGTGGCAGCCCCTCAAATATTGGAACGCTGCTATCATATCACCCTCTGGTCCTTTTTTTTTTCTTCACTTTTCTAGACGTATCCAATTCCTGCAACCGTTCTTCATATGCTTTAGCCTCCAGCCCCCTAATTATCTTTGTTGCTCTTTTCTGCACACTTTGCAGAGTCTCTACATCTTTTCTAGAATATGGTGACCAAAACTAGATGCAGTATCTAAGCGTGGGGTTACTAAGGCTTTATAAAGTGCTACTCACACTTCCTTTGAACTCTATGCTAGGTTAAGTAAGCCATGGTTCAGTTAACTATAAGTATTTAAGTTGTAGTTGGACCATAAGGAAGGCTGAGCGCCAAAGAATGGAGGCCTTTGAACTCTGGTGCTGGAGAAGACTCCTGCGAGTCCCTTGGACTGCAAGGCGATCCAATCGGTCGGTCCTAGAGGAGATCAACCCTGACTGCTCTTTAGAAGGCCAGATCCTGAAGAGGAAACTCAAATACTTTGGCCACCTAATGAGAAGGAAGGACTCCCTGGAGAAGAGCCTAATGCTGGGAATGGTTGAGGGAAAAAGAAGAAGGGAATGACAGAGAAGGAGGTGGCTGGATGGAGTCACTGAAGCAGTCGGCGTGAGCTTAAATGGACTCCAGAGGAACGTTGTCCATAGGGTTGCGATGGGTCGGACATGACTTCACAACTAACAACTATTAACACTTCATGTGATCTTGATTCTACTCCTCTGTTAATGCAACCTAGGATTGGCTTTTTTGGCTGCCTTCTGTAACAGAAGTCTCCTTACTGAACTGACGTGCCTCACGCACACGGACATTTGCACGTGTCCTTTGGCTCCTGGGGGGTAAAGTTTCCCAATCTTCTCCATGGAATTCCCCCCCCCCATGGAACAACCTATTGACAATCAAACTAGGCTTCTGTTAAGAAATATCACCCCAATAATGCAACATGGATTGTGAAAATACTTAAACCGTGTACCAATGATTTTGTTTCAAAACAAATGAAATGTTTACGTGAGATGATTCCTTCCTTTGTTATGAGGGATTATAGACGATTCATTTATACATGGTTATCAGTGGTGGGTTGCCCCTGGTTAGGACCGGTTCTATAGAACTGGTAGTAAAACCTGCGGGAGGCTCCGCCCACCGACCCTGACGTCATCAGGAAGCTTCTGCGCATGTGCAAAAGCTTCTGCGCATGTGCGGCCCTGTTGCAAACTGGTAGTAAAGGTAAGTAGAACCCACCCCTGATGGTTATAGACGGTGGTATTCAGCCGGTTCGGAACGGTTTGGGTGAACCGGTAAGTGGTGACCTGTGGGCCCGCCCCCCCGCCCGTCCTCCACCTGCCCTCCCTGGCGCTATGCCATCCTATTTAGCCAAGTTTTCTAAGCCACATGCATGTGTGCAAGTCGCACGCTCGAGCAAAGCACATGCATGGAAGTGCATGCTCACATTTTTGGTGTGCGGTGAACCAGTGGTAAAATTATACGAAACCCACCTCTGGTTATAGATAATTGATTCAGTCCACTTCCAATTTCTTAAATTAGCCCCCTGAAGTCCCAACGGCGAGCAACATGAGGGATAGAAATGATGATAACAGAAACGCACGTGTGAGATTTCAGACAGGAGGCGTCCAACCTCTGGAACAATGCCTGGAAGCTCGCCTTACAAATGTCTCGTTTGCAAAATAAACACGAGTATTATCCTTTCGGAGATTGCATGTTCATGCTTCTCAAGGCATGGACAGGATTCCCAAAAGTACAACTGGGGCTTTTAGGAAGTCCCAAAAATAAATAAATAAATAAAAAATGCCTGACTAGTCTGCCTAGGCGATCGGATGATGTTCTTGTCGTCGTCGTTCAGTTGCAAAAAGTCGTATAACATTATAAATGTTTGTACTGATTTACTTATAGATCGAATTGTTTATTCCAGTGTCTTCGTTTGTTATGTCACCTCCGTTCTTCTTACTGTCAATCCATCCCATTTGTTGGAAGTCAGAGGACACCAACACAAACTGATGTTGGCACATTGTGGCCTGCCGATGGGCACGTTTGAAAGACCTGTGGTAGCGCATAACCCTTTGAATTTGTCCCAAAAATCAGATCAGTGCTGACTGGTTTTACCACACAGGCAGCCCTCAACTTACGACGATCACAATCTAGCCCAAAATTTCCACCGCTAAGCAAGACAGTTGTTAAAACGAGTTCTGCCCCCATTTTACCGCCTTTTGTGCAACTGAATCATTGCAGTCATAAAGTCACACGCTTGTTAAGTGAATCTGGCTTCCCCGTTGATTCTGTCCATCGGAAGGTCGCAAAAGGGGATCACGTGGCCCCCCCGGGACACTGCGACCGTCATAAATGTGAATCAGTTGCCAAGCATCCGAATGGAAATCGTGTGACCGGTGCGAACGCCGCAACGGTCGTTCAGTGTGAAAAACGATCGTAAGTCACTTTTTTCAGGGCCGTCGTAACTTCGAACGGTCGCTAAACGAGCTGTTGTAAGTCGAGGACTACCTGCATCTAGGTCCTGATTTTCAGAGCACCCTTTTGAGTTTAAAAAATGGGAAAGTCCCACTCCTGCTAACTAACAGGTTCCTTTCTCACCATTGTTTCAGTGCAATTCGATATGATGCGTGCCTGCAATCTGATTGCCACCGTCGCCTTGACAGCCGGGCAGCTCCTCTTCGTGTTGGGATTGGTAGAACTGCCCATCATTTCCCAGGATACCCAATGGTGGGAAGAAGCCATCGCTGCCGTCTTCCAGCTTGCCAGTAAGTACCTTCGGTTGCAAAAGCTGAAAACTGCCTCGCCTGGGAGAAACCAAAGGGCTCCCGCGGTTCAAAAACTTTCCGATTAGGTGGAAGCGTGGCACAAGTGGGTAGGAATCCCTTCCGTAACTACAACCGCGGTGGAGATAGAAAGGATGCCCCCCCCCCCACCACCACCGTTCCTTCTCCACTCGAAAATAAAAATAGAAGGTGGGGAGAACTTCAGTGGAATGATGGAGTTCCTCTAAAGCAGAGGTCTTCAAACGGGGCAGCTTTAAGACTTGTGGACTTCAATTCCCAGAATTCTGCTTGGTGGCCAAGAATTTTTTCCCCTTTTTTCAAGACGAATAAATGTGTTTCTAGGTTACTGTGAGCACCGATCATGCTATGATGCTACTCTCTCTCTCTGTCTCTCCCTCTCTCTCTCTCTTTGCTCTACTCTCTCCCTTTCCCTCTCTCTTTCTGTTTCTCTCTGTCTCTCTTTCTCTGTCTCTGTCTCTCTTTCTCTTTTTTTTGCTCTATTCTCTCCTTCTCTCTCTCTTACTCTGTCTCTCTCTCTCTCTTTCTCTCTCTCTTTGCTCTATTCTCTCCTCTTTCTCTTTTTCTGTCTCTGTATCTTTCTCTCTCTCTCTTTGTCTCTCTTTTTGCTATATTCTCTCCTTCTCTCTCTCTCTCTTTGTCTCTCTCTCTCTTTCTCTCTCTTTGCTCTATTCTCTCCTTCTCTTTCTCTTTTTCTCTCTGTCTCTGTATCTTTCTCTCTCTCTCTTTCTGTCTCTCTTTTTGCTATATTCTCTCCTTCTCTCTCTCTCTCTTTGCCTCTCTCTCTCTCTGTGTCTCTCTCTCCCTCCCACTCTCCCCTCTCTCTCTCTCTCACCACCTCTCCCTCTCTCTCTCCCTGTCCTATTTACGACGGTCGCAGTTTCCCGGGGTCGTGTGAACCCGTGTTGAGACCTTCTGACAAGCAAAGCCAACGGGGGAGCCAGGTTCATTTAACAACCATGTTTCTTAGTTAACAATTGTAGCGATTCACTTAACGACAGTGGCAAGAAAGGTCGCCAAATGGGACCCAAACTCACTTAACAACTGTCTCGCTTAGCGAGGGAAATTTTAGGCTCGATTGTGGTCATATGCTGAGGACTACCTGTACGGTAAAACCAGTTGGCACTGATCTGAACATTGGGTCAAATTCACAGAGCCCCATGAGCTACCCACAGATTTGTTTTTTAAAAAAAAAAAAAGAGATTGGACAAGGATCGGCCCCGAATGGTGTAGAAGACCTCCAGAGCCTCTTCCAACTCTGTTCTTCTGTATTACTAGAAATCCTGCCTCCATTTCCCCCACTCCTTCCCATCAAAGGCAGCTTGAGCTTCTCTTCCCATTGCTCTGCCCGCCTGCTGTCCGAGCTCTGCTCCCTCTGTTTTTTTGTTTTTTTTTCGCCGAGAGAGGAAATGCATTTTGGCTGGGTTTAGATTTGTTGTTTCATTGACAAACAGTACAAGAGGGCGGCCGTGTGCCTTTCTTCTATCAGGGCTGCTAATTTTAGACCAGGGATATATTTTTTTTCCTAGGCTACAGTCTGTTTTAAACACAGTCAGAGAGAGACAGAAGGGCGCCAGGATTTCCCGACACAGGAGAAGGAAATGCCTGCTGTTACCTGTTATGCAAGCTGAACCTTGAAATCCTCAGCACTGGAAAGTGGAAAGGGGAGAGGGAGAGAGAGAGAGAGAGAGAGGGAGGGAGAGAGGGAGGGAGGGAGAGAGAGAAGGAAAGAGAGAGACAGAAAGAAAGAGAGAAAGAGAGAGAGACAGAGAGAGAGAGAAAGAGAAAGAGAAAGAGAGAGAGAAAGAAAGAGACAGAGAAAGAGAGAGACAGAGAGAAAGAAGACAGAGACAGAGAGAAAGAGAGAGAGACAGAGAGAGAAAGAAAGAGACACAGAGAGAGAGAGACAGAGAAAGAAGAGACAGAAAGAGAGAGAGACAGAGAGAAAGAAAGAGAAGAAAGAGAGAGAGAGAAAGAGACACAGAGAGAAAGAGACACAGAGAGATACAGAGAGAGAGAGAAAGAGAGAGAGAAAGAGAGAGAGAAAGAGAGAGAAAGAAAGAGACAGAGAAAGAGAGAGACAGAGAGAAAGAGACAGAGACAGAGAAAGAGAGAGAGACAGAGAGAGAAAGAAAGAGACACAGAGAGAGAGAGACAGAGAAAGAAAGAGACAGAAAGAGAGACAGAGAGAAAGAAAGAGAAGAGAGAAAGAGAGAGAGAGAGAGAAAGAGAGAGAAAGAGAAAGAGGGAGAGGGAGAGAGAGAAATTGAAGTTAGAATTGCAATGCTATGAAGAGCAGCCATGGTGAGCCCCAGGATTGAGCCTGAGGTCTGAAAAGCAGAAGAACGAAGGGAAGGATGATGGTGGGGAATGGAAGGATTGATACTCCTTGCAGACAGCTGGTCATTTGCATTTTTTTAGAGGGTCGTTGAAGCACTCAGAGGTTTCTGTGTTCTCAGGGTCACCTGAGTGGTGCAAATGGTTCCTGTAGTCCGCAATTTGTCCTCTGGAAATCCATTCCTACTCCCACACCTTTCCAAGGGTGCTCATCTCAAATTGTATGGCTAAAAGTCTGTAGAGATTCTCACTCCTCCAGGTCATGGTTGTCCCAAAGGTGCTTTTTTCAGGAGGCAACTGGACTTTCTGGTTTTTCTTTGAAGACGTTTAGCTTCTCATCCAAAAAGCTTCTTCAGCTCTGACTGGATGTTGGGGAATGGAAGGATTTATACCAGTGGTGGGTTGCCCCCCCAGTTCGGACCAGTTTGCAAGAACCGGTAGTAAAACCAGCGGGAGGCTCCGCCCACCGCCCTGGATGTCATCATCCGTGATCTGCGCATGTGCAGAAGCTTCTGCTCATGCGCAGAAGCAAGACGCGCGTGTAAACAAAGCGAGGGCGCGCGCACAATCCCGTTGCGAACTGATGGTAAAGGTAAGTAGAACCCATCCCTGATTTATACTCCTTGCAGAGAACGCAAATGACCAGCTGTCTGCAAGGAGGATAAATCCTTCCATTCCCCACCATCCAGTCAGAGCTGAAGAAGCTTCTTGGATGAGAAGCAAAATGTCTTCAAAGAAAAACCAGAAAGTCCAGTTGCCTCTTGAAAAAACAAAGCATCTTTGGGACTCATCGGAAAAGATGGTGACGTTGGGAAAGTTGGAAGGCAAAAGGAGAAGAGGAAGGCAAAGGATGAGACAGTTAGATAGTATCATCAATGCAAAGATTATGATTTGGGACAAATTCGGGAATGGGGAAAAGAGGGCCCGGTGTGCCATGGTCCATGGGATCACGAAGAATCGGACATGACTTAGCCACCGAACAACAACCTGGTGTAAAAAATACTAGATCCAAGAAAAGAAAGCTAAAATCTCCAATATGTACAGCATGCCGACCTTCAGATTCAACTATTTTTGGTAACTTTTCTCTCTATTCTGATGTGGCCAGTCCTGGAATGCTGGTTCAAAATCCACATCTGAGAAATGTTTATTCGATAGAACAAAGAAGACAAACTCCAGTAATATATTCCATATGTTACCGTATTTTTCAGAGTATTTATTTATTTTATTTGATTTGATTTCTATACCGCCCTACTCCCGAAGGACTCAGGGCGGTGCACAGCCAAACAATAAAACACATACATACAAAATTTAAAAGTAGGATAAAATCAAATTAAATAATTTTGGCCCCGACAAATTTAAAACCCCAAACTTTTAAAACCAATTTAAAATTGAATGTATAAAATACTAAAAGATATTTAAAAATTAAAAATCTTTTATAAAAGAGGGAGAAAATTAGGCCAGGCCCGCCTGGTGAAATAGTAAGGTCTTTAAAGTGCGGCGGAAGGTGTGCAGATAGTATAAGACGCACCTTAGTTTTTGGGGAGGAAAATAAGAAAAAAGCTGATTGGTGGGTGGATCGCCCTCCCGGAATACCCCCAATCAGCTGTTCCCAGAGGTGAACTTTAGCAACAGGTTGGTTGGTTGTGAGCTCTGTGCCTTGCCTTTTTTTTTTCTGCCTCTGAAACTTCTGAAACTTCGTTTCAGAAAAAACTTTTTTTTTCTGCCTCTGAAAGCCTCCGAAATAGAGCTTCAGAAAAAAAGGCTTCTTTTCTGAAGCTCTGTTTGGAGGCTTCTTTTCTGAAGCTTCTTTCAGAGGCTTTTTTTTTTTTTGAAAGCTCTGTTTGGAGGCTTTTTTTCTGAAGCTTCTTTCAGAGGCTTTTTTTCTGAAGGACTATCTGTACTCTGTTCAATCTCCTTTCTTTGGTATTGGTATATAGATTAACCTCTTCCGATCTGTTGGTTATTGTGTCATTCTCCAGATTTTTTAGCATAGTTTGGTTAGAAACTTTACTGATTCTTCTTTTGTTGCTTGCCATATTATTTTAGATAAAAGCCTTTCAGAGGCTTTTTTTCTGAAGCTTCTTTCAGAGGCTTTTTTCGGCCTCTGAAATCTCCATTTGCAAGGCTGGACAGGGCTACATTCAGAGTATAAGACGCACCCAGATTTTCACCCTCTTTTTGGGGGGGGGTAAAAGGTGCATTTTATACTCCGAAAAATACGGTACTTTGGGAGTGCATGGGTTTTTAAATCAGCCTTTTGTGTTGAGGTGCAGAATGAAAATATTCACATATTAACTTGCGCTTTCTCTGAATGAAGGAACAACAAAAATGATATCCCTTGGCCGTATCCGCATCTTACATGGATAAAACGCAAAGGGCAGGTTTTCACTACGTAGTCGGGCTTTGAGCTAAAGGTGTGAACACAGCCTATGCCTACAACTTGGTAAAGCAGCTTTGTTTTCCAGAATCGCAGCTTTGTGAGTCCAGAAAACGATGGGGTTGTCTTGCACAATAGGTGCTGTGTTTGTATCTTTGCACCCTTCTGAAGCAGCCAGGGGTGAAATCCACCAGGTTCTGACAGGTTCTGGAGAACCGGTAGCGGAAATTTTGTGTAGTTCGGAGAACCG